CAAGTATTGAGATTTACTTGAGAAGCTTTACCAAGAGAGAATCAAGGGGCAAGGAACAGGAAAAGGTGACAGAAGATGGGTGGACACAAAACCTCTGCCCTTTCAAGCATGGCTTTTCTCCTCAGTCAGCAGAGGTGATGTTAGATGAAGAGAGCAGCTAATTGTGTGATTGCTGAGCGTTACTAAGTCAACAGTCCTCATGAACCATAGAACGAGGCAGGTTGAATGATTTGTTTCTTTTTCTTTTTCAATGTTCTCAAATTCATAAGCACCATGAGTGTTTTGAAAAATAAATGTTTGCGCATTTCGCTTTTAAGTAGGCTAATATGAGAATGTTTTTGTTCTCTCTAAATCCTTTGCTCTAGCTGGTCACAATGGTACGTGGAATACTCAGTGATTGCACTATTGATGGCATTTAGATCATGTGTGGCTCTTGAGTTCAGGGGACCTTCACTTTCTCTCATTCTTACACAAGTGAAAGGTTGTTTATGCATGGTGTCATATGATGTCTTGTGGCCCTTTGCGTCTTCCAGCAGAACAGAACAGTGACAGTTCTATTTGGCTGCCATCTGATCGACACGCTGTCTTCAAGTCACATGAGGGGCACTCTAATTTCCTACTCCTTCATTCACTTGCGTGTACAATACTTGTGTGTTAGACAGGGAGGGGACAATGAATAAGTCTTTAAAATATTCATTTGGCATTATTTGTTTTAGAGGTTAACCTCACTATCGTGAACGAGTTGTATGCTTTTCCTCTTTGGCTTAACAACAAGATGAGAAAATGGCACTATGGCACAGTTGTTTTAAAAGAGAACCCTAATTTTAATAGGCACTCAGAGAAGCGAGGACTAGAGAAAACCTTATCTCAGCCATTAGGTGGGCATCAGTGTGAAGAGAAGAGATTAGAACCACTCAATCCTGAAGCACACTTACTTCCTGTGAACCTGTCTTATTTATTATCTACCTTGTTTTTATTTATCTATTTCTTCCTATCTTTCTTTCTTTCTAAAACATTCAATAAAATACACTTCTTTTGGCAGCTGCTTTTCATTTCTTCGTCTTTGACTTTCATTATTACTATTATCAGAATACTCCATAGCTTCATTTTGTAGGTAGTCACTATAAAGTGAATTATACTGCATTCAAAGCATACATTTTGTCAGTTCATACAATTCCCAGGGTATCAAACCCATGACCTTGATGTTGCTAGTACCATTCTCTACAGGAACAAAAAAACATCATGTCACCTCATGAATAATTAATTAGGGTTTACTTTGCCATTCACTTGTCAGATAACGATTTTTTCCCCTCTCGGTTGTTTACCAGCCTTCCCTCAGTGCAGGCAAAGTTTATTATCAATGTCAAGTCATTTGCAAAAAGAGTTCAGCACTTGGCGGTTGCTTAAAAAAATCATACAGAGGCACCCTGAGAAAAAAAAGACACCTTGGAAAAAAAGAAACCCTGACACTGAAACTGACATAGGTCACTAAGAAAAAGTCGATGTCCTCTGTGCTGCCGCAGTGCCACAGCCCCAGGACTCCCAGCATGCTCTCTTCTCTTTTACTCTAATGAGTTGCAACACAGATAATGTGGCTGATGATCTTTCATTGATTTGGCTATCACTTGCTTGTCTGGTAATTGATCCGTAGCTGAGCCTCTAGTTAATTATATCAGCTTCGACATGGCCCTAGTCTGGAGGGAATTTGAAGTCTTGCAGAATAATAGTTTTAATAAAGGAGTCCATTACTGGGGCTCTCTGCTTTCCTTGACTGCTGCTTCTGCTGCTGCCACTGGCTGGATCTGAGCTCAAGCTCACCTGCGTGCGTGCACATGTGAGAGAGAGAATGAGGATGGGACATGCTGAAAGAAAAAGATGGAGCCAACATGCAAAAAGGGAAAAGGATATTAGCCTCTTAAAACTCTCACAAATAACAACTATTAATGGGGAGGTCAGAAGCTGAGCTGACCGCTTAACTTAAAACACTCTGTAGCTTTCAAAAATCAAGCACATTCAAGAGAGAAAGTCAAATGAAGAGCAATTGAGACATTTAAGAGTAAAAAAAAGAAGAAACAGGTTTACTGGAATTGGGTTTATCGATAATGTAACCGGTAGAGATTTTTTTTAAAGCCATGGTTACTACACATTAATGTCCATGTTGTATTCAAAAACAACAATTGACTGCCATTTAGTACTGAACAAGAGAAAATCTGAGCAGAGAGATGAAATGGAGGGGACAAATGTGTGACAATAGGCTCTAAGCATCTCTCTCATTAGTGTCCATTTGCTTGTAAAGACGTGCAGTCTTCAAGTCTTTGGTTACTGCGGAAGGCACTCTACACTTGAGAGAGAGAGAGAGAGACAGACAGAGAGAGAGAGAGAAAAGAGGTGAGGAAAAGAAACAAAACGGCATATTAAGTTCTCATTGCGGCTGCCACCATTCCCTTTTGCCTTTTCATTCAATCTGAAAAAAGAAAAAGAAGAAGAAGACACTAGATTTGATCAGACAAAATGCTGTGCAGATTACTCAGGTAAAGGTTAGCCAGAGCTGTCATTAGTGCTGTACAGAGGCTTTTAACAGACAGTAACAGCTGTCTCCTTCAAATTGCCACAAAATTTCAAGTGGCTTTCTACATACGAGAAGCCATTTAATGTAGCGAAAGGGAGAAAAGTTAATTCCCTTTCTTTCTGTCTCATAGAAGGGAGATCACGGTGACATCTTCCTCAGACATACTCGCATTGTCAAAGACTGTAATTTTAACAGCTGACGAAATGCTGAAGGAAAAAAACTTACGAGAGCAAAAACATGCAATAATAACAAAAAATGACTTTATTACACAATACATTTCTCAGGTAAAATGTTTTGGCATGTACAACGAGGGAGAGATGCTGCCACTTATTGTAAGTGCATATGTTAGGGCTTTCTTTCTCTCCTCCACCTTTGTGAGACTGTCTGCTGCGGGGACCAATTTGGCAAAAATGGAGCCTCTTCCTCATTTTTTTCTTAATTAAAATCTGAAAGCATCCACTCGAGGTTTCCCTGCGTGTGTGTGTGTGTGTGTGTGTGTGTGTGTGTGTGTGTGTGTTTGTGTTTGTGAGTGGGTGAGAGTATGTATGATTATGTGCTCTGCCGCACTACTCCACAAGACGGTGTGTGTGTGTGTGTGTGTGTGTGTGTGTGTGTGTGTGTGTGTGTGTGTGCGTGCATTCGCAGGGGGAGTTGTTGGAGGGGGGGCGTGGACTGATTACATACAACCATTAGCTAGAGCTGTTTAATACAAGGGAAGAAAAACAGACAAAGGAATAAGACTTGGTGATAAAAATCAAGGGTTTTTCTGCCTACCCTAAATAATGACACGTTGCTACTTCTTTCCGGCTATTGAAACACAATGTGTTTTTTTATCATTTTTTTAATTCCTGGTAGCAAATTGTTAAACATTTTCTGTAAGTTTACCGGCTGTCCAACGTAAAGTGAAATAAATGCAAAATAAAGTGCAGTTGGAAGGCTCAGAAACATCTTTTGGTTTAGCATTGAGGCTATTATAGAAGTTGGAGCTTGTCCAATTGTATTGACAAATGCATTATTTGCTTGGAACAGTTGTGTGGATGGGCCAGTTATATGTGTGTGTGTGTGTGTGTGTGTGTGTGTGTGTGTGTGTGTGTGTGTGTGTGTGTGTGTGTGTGTGTGTGTGTGTGTGTGTGTGTGTGTGTGTGTGTGTGTGTGAGTGCATGTATTAGAGAGTGGCTCAATCCCACTGAGGTCTGGAGTGGAGAAGCATCAGGCATGGAGAGCTGGTAATAAGACAGGGACAACCCTTTCCCCTCCTGCTCTCTCTCTCTCTCCCTCTCTCTCTCCCTCTCAGTGGGAAAGCAGATCAGTGGAGGAGAGAGAGAGCCGTGTCATTGAGTGCCAGCAAGAAGAGAGGAGCAGTTAACTCAGACGCGCTGCGGCCCGACACACACATGCTCTACCTCACAACAACACACATGTACTCACGGCTGCACGCACATGCACACTGACACAGCGCTAGCTGGAGTTAGTCTGGAAACAGAGGACAGGCTTCTCTGAGGGCGAGAAGGGGCCCGAAGAAAGCGAGGGAAGGAAAAAGAGAAAGAGTAAGAGAGGAGGGGCTGCTTTTGAACTGACACACTCCAACACCTGATCTCTACACAGCTGGGAGGAAAACCACGCCGGACACTCTGGTGAGAAAGGGCACCTTTTGGGGAGAAGGGAGGGACGATTTGTCTTTTGCTCTTGTCTCATTTCAGCTCTTTTCTTTGGAATGAAACTTTGAGCTGTTAGCGATAGTTTTGGATTGTGAGATATGGAGTGTAGTAGAGCTGCAAAGAGCCAAAAAGTGTGGTGTTTTTGTCTGTGTTGAGATGTGTGAGGGGGTTCAAAGGGCAGGTTACGGGTGACTGAGTGTGCTCGACGATTGATTTCTGTTTGGAATGTATGTATGTGTATGTCCGTGTATGTTTGGAGGACAGCCCATACACAGCTTGACTGACATTTCAAAAAAACAAAAACAAAAAAAAAGTGAAAGTGTTTGTGGGGGGGACGCAGACAAAAAAAAGAAGCTCCTTCACCATCTCCTCCTCCATTTTTCTGCCATCCCCCTTTTTTTCTCTCCCTCCTGCACTTCACTTCAATTCACACCCCCATCCCTCTCTTCCTCCCTCCTTACCTCCGACACTCTGCTCATCCTGCCCTCTACCACCACATGCCCCAGAGGAAATATGCATTGTGCAGCCCTGCTCCTGAATTAACTCAACACACTCCTCCTGCTACTGGCAGGCAAGACCCTCCACTTTCCCCCCTCTCTCAAGAGAAGATAGCAAAGAGAGAGAGAAAGAAAAGGAAAGACAGAAAAGAATAGGACAGAAGAGAAAAAAAAGAACAGAGCAGTCACCCTCTGCCTCTTTGAACCTCCACCTTTACGTACTTTTCTCTCCGGCTCCCCTGTTCACCCCCCCTTCCCCCTCTTCTCTGCCGCCAGTCTGAGGAGACAGAGTTGGATGTGAGAGGCGGTGTGGTGTGGAGAGAACGAGATCGAGAGAGGGCACGCGAGTCCACGGCCAGAGCCAGCAGCAGGAGCAGCAGCAGCAGCGGTGCAGGGGGAGGAGGAGGAGAAGAAGGAGAAAGCTCCATGCAGTTCAGCACCAGACCGGCCAGCGCTGAGCCGGGCTTCATGGGGACATGGACACAGCAGAGCACTGACAGCAACCTCCTCTTCAGAATGTCCCAGCAGGTCAGTGGGATGCTGTCCCCGTGTGTCATTGTGTCTGCTATGTCTTTGTGCAGTTGTTAAAGTGTGTTTGTGTGTAAGCAAGAGTTGACCATTTTCTTTTCTTTTTTGTTAGCAAATTAACATGCATGAGTAAAAAAAAGTTTCTATTAGTGTCAGTGAATTGTTTAATTGTTTGTTACTTGTTAACCATATTTAGTTTCAATTCTTTTTGTGGTTTAGTGGCTGGGGTCCATTGTCACAAATTGCTGTCTTTGTTGTAAAGTTTGTTAAGCAGAAACTAGCTTTTAGAAATTGTTAGTGAATTTGCAACGGGTCACTTTTTATTTCCTTTAGTGATTCTTGGAAAATCAGTCCGTGGCTTCAAATCTAATTGATTTCATCTGTAAGTTTTTTTTATTTATTTATTTATTTATTTTTGCTGTAGTTTTTAACATCAGAAAATTGTCTAAGTACATGCTGTAGCTGTGTAAAATGTACAGATCTTTAAGTGCACAGTTATTCTGAAGTTCATGTGTAGAATGCTTTTATCAGGACAGAATGTTTATGGGAGGGGGATCAGGGTCTGTGGAGGGAGAGATGGTGAGCAGAACATTAATCATCAGGGCTGGTTTCTCTGTGCCATGCACACGCTGATACGAGCGCAGGCCCCTGGATTCCCTTTGGCCAACAACGGGGGTCCATCCACATATCTTTCCAGATTCTGCGCTATTTTTTTTCTTTCTCCACTCGACCAGCTCTCTTTTTATATATGCAACATTGACATGCGTATCGATTAAACACGAAGACCGTAACACAAATATGAATAGTCATTATCTGACATCTGACATTCACATAAAAAGGTTCCTAATTAATAACAATAACAACAATAATACAAAGTTTAAATAAAACAACAATTCCGTTCAATGATAGAGAATTTCGTGTGTGTGTGTGTGTGTGTGTGTGTGTGTGTGTGTGTATATATATATATATCACACTATGTATATCATAAAGTAATTCTATGTAAAAAAAAAAAAAAAGCTCTTATACTTATAGCTCTTGCTAACTAATAAATGAGGATTCTTATTGAGAATGAAGATTTGAATGGTGGTGATGAGTCGCGCGCTGCGCTGCACGGCGCATCGGAGCTCCGGCGCAGGTGGATTCTGTGCTGCGCTTTAAACTTAACCAGGAACACATTGAGGATGAAAGGTTTCTTAAACTTTTGACAAGTTATCGGAAATTCTGTTCGGGCTCTACGCGTTTAGTAATTTTTGTCTAATAACACTCAAACAGCAAAACATTTTGAACATTTGTTGAACATGTTGTATGCTTGTTTAAACAGTAGGCTAGGCTATGTCCCTGATATAGGCTAAAATATGAGTAAGATAATTCAAGATAGCCTAATTCAAATGCCCTTTATTTTAATTCGACTCTAAATCATTCGATATGATTATTTTATTATGAGAGTGTCGAATGTAGTTAATGAACATTGATGACTGTGTAATCCTGCTGCTATCAGTTATTTTGTCAGAACAACATTTTCTCAGCTGTCCAGCTGCAGCTGTGCTGCTTAAACAGAAGTCATAATGTAAATATTATAAACACAAGCCTCTTTTAGTTATAAATCTTAATGAAAAATTTTGAGAGAAAAAATAACCTTCCAGTTCATAATAAATAATAAAATTTGCGCGCTTCTCATAGATGGCACGGGGGGAAATATCCACTGAACCTTGCTCAGGTGTGTGTGCTCTTTATTTTAAAGAAATGCAGCGAAAGGGTTTTTCCCACCCTAAACTATTTATTTGGTTATATGTGTTTTCCCCTAAATGTATGATTCTAAAGAGCTTTTATAGAATGTATTTTGAGCTACATCCCTAAACTAATTATCTATATGTATGATTCATAGTCAATTAACATTATTTTTCGTTTTATTTAATTTAAAAACTCACCTGCGCATTTCCAAAAATTACACTGACACTGCCGACCACGTGCAGTGTTCGATATTAATATCAAAACCACATGAGCAAATATTCGAAAAGCCTGTGCTGGGGTTTATTACCCTATATTTGTTAAAGTGGGTTTGGTTATTAATTGGTTCTAATTGCCTAATCCCGACTATCAGGCTGCTGATTGAACGAGCACTTAATGGTTCTTCATTTGGTCTAATTCAGTTGACGCGTGCTGAAACAAGGTTGTGATCGGTTCACATCGTAAAGCCTTTTCTGGTGCTGAATCTGATAAGATCTCCCGTGAAACCTGTGAGATGCTGTAGTGCAGTCGAACTCCCTCACTCTGTCTGAGGCTCTTTTAGCATCCTTTAGTGTTTGTACCGCATTATTTATCCCTTTCATGCAATCCATGAATAAGTGTACAGGTAAAATAATTGTTTTTGTAGACGTACGGATGTAGCATTAAACCATTATAAAAATAAACAGACATTAAGCAGACAGTAAATAATGTACACTACAACGGCACCGACAGATGTAATATATAGTTTATTAGAAAAACGACAATAACAGCCGCAGCCCTAATAATAATAATAATAATAATAATAATAATAATAATAATGATAATAATAATAATAATAATAATAATAATAATAATAATAATAATAATAATAATAATAATAATAATTTAAAAACGAATGTCATTGTCAATTAAGTGTTGTCAGCAAATTGATAAGCAAAAAACGCCAGTTAGGCTCGAATAAATTTAAATGCAGCACCAAAAACTAAAATACTAATTTGTTTAATTTCTTTATCCTTCAAAAAGTGAATTTTGACAATTTCAGATGTTGTCGAACAAATGATCTTTCAGGTCAAATGAAAGACGCAGAAAAAATCATCCGGTTGCGGGTCCGACCTGTTAGGCAGAGACATGTAGCAAAAAAGGAAGGAAAGAAACATATTAAAGAAAAAAAAAACAGCTGCCGATTATCTTCGATTCGTCCAATTTAATAGTGTTTTTCATTTAATTTATTAGCTAAATGGTAAAGGTTAACGGATAATTATAGGCTACGTTCTCGTGCAAGTTGAGAAAAGCTCAACTAAACGGGGTTAGGAAAAATCATTAGTTATTTGTGGTCTATGCGAGATATTTTTATTTGTTTATTTGTAATATGTTCTGAAATTAATTTAATTTACAAATAAAATGATCCCGTTCAGATTTTGGCAAATAAACGATTTCCCCCCTCTTGGTTTTTAAGTTCAGCTTGTTTTGCGGTCTTCTGTACAGATCAAATGCGTTTGTGGCATATCTGTGCATACAAATTTTCTTTCTTTCTTTCTTTCTTTCTTTCTTTCTTTCTTTCTTTCTTTCTTTCTTTCTTTCTTTCTTTCTTTCTTTCTAAATTTGATCAGGTGCATGTTTGAGTACTGTATGTATACTGAAGCGTGTGTACATGTGATTATAGTGAAGTGTCTATTTTTCTTTTTTTTTTTCCCTCTCTGTGCTGCATGTGTGTGTGGGTGCTAGATGAAACGACTTTTGGCTGGCCTTGGTTGAGAGAAAGAGAAGGGTGGAGTGGAGAAGAGGAGAGGAGAGTGAAAGAGGATATGTGGTTAGGGAGACACCCACCACCTTTTTTCGGCAGATAGAGCAGAGCCCAGGGCAGTGCCAACACCATCACCACAGCTATTGCTGACTAAGATGGAGCAGTCACAGGAAATGTGACTGTTTCAACCTTTGGTGACAAAAAGGGGCCTGTCACAGGGTCATTGTCAAAACTGAGATAAGTTATGTTTGCAGTTAAAATGAACAAACATACATAATTATTGGGGGTGGGGTGGGGGGGGGGGCAGCAACTAAAACAGCAACTAAAGGAAAAGAGTGTTCATGGAGTCAACTCTCCATATCACTGCAGAGAAGAGGCTGCTGGTTCAGGGGTCTTTGTGCTGAACGGATGTGGCTCCTGCCGTTAACTACTGACCCTGTTAAGTAATGGACTCAGTTGAGGGGAGTAATCTCACCTGGCTCAGGGATGCTTTCTTTCCTAATTCCTCTCGCTTTCCCCGACAGACAGCCTCTTAATGTTTTCAAGGAGAAACTGGAATGTGGAGGAAGCAGAGAGGGCGGGGAGAGGATCAGAGAAACAGAGTGATAAACTTTTTTTTTCGCTGTTTTTGTTGTAAAGAGAGAGTGCTTGCTGGCGTGTTTTATTGTGGAAGTCAAGAGTTACAAAAAGGTGCATGTAGAGGTGATGAGCAGATGAGAGACAAAAGACAGAGATGTTTTGGCGACTGGATACTAAAAAGATTTTTTTTGACTGTGTTTGTGTGTGTGTGTGTGTGTGTGTGTGTGTGTGTGTGTGTGTGTGTGTGTGTGTGTGTGTGTGTGTGTGTGTGTGTGTGTGTGTGTGTGTGTGTGAATGTGTGTTTGTCATTCCTGTACATAAGCGATACGTGCCAGCTATTGTGCTGCCTACACCTCAGCCTACATCCCTACTGTCAATGCGATTTGTTGGAACTATTATTGTTTCTACTTTGAGAGGCAAAAAACAAAGAAAGAAATGTTCAGTATTTCTCACTCCATTTAAGTGATTACGTAAGGAATGCATTAATCACTATGCTACAGTTATGGCTTTTAATAAACATGTTGTTTAAAGTGGTTTCTGTGTTAGATTAGTTTTAATATTCATGATTTAATTCCCTCAATTTCACTGTTTACAAAGCAATGGTAGAATATTAAGCTAAAATGCTCTTGAGAAATATCACTAAACTGTTATTGTTTTCAGTGTTCTTCTCAAAAATATTTTTTCTCTAAAATTTTATATTTTATAAGTTGAAAACGCAATTTGTAGTGCTGCTGCTCAGACTGTCTTCTTTCTTTCTTTCTTTCTTTCTTTCTTTCTTTCTTTCTTTCTGTTTTATTTTACATTTTGTTTATATTACATATCTCAAAGCGGTGATGAAGATGCTAGGAAGATGAAGAGAGGGAGCATGCGAAAATGTGGGACATAAACGGCTTGTTTTTAGGGAAGGGGAAGTGGTCCCTGTGGGCTGAGAAATTCACTCTTCTGGCTT